TTTGGCAGTTATAAAGATCGACTTAACTGGCACGCATTCGATAATGAAATGAGATAATTTTTACCTTCTCTGCAATCTCTGCAGGATTCTGAGAACTAACACGGAACAGGACGAAGAACGCCCTGATTGGTTACAAATATCCCGGATCACGAGAACAAAGGGAGTGTCATTCACCTTTGACTGGATAGCACCCGGGATATATCTGAGGTTTAAAATGAAAGGAAACCGATCCATTAGATACATCATGTTTTTCTTTGACAACTAAACATGCATTAAACATATACCGGCATATCAAGCAGACCCCAAGAGTCTCTGTAATTCCGATCTCAAAACCCTCCTTCCAACATTTCCTGTAAACCAAACCCATTTATACATCTGGCCCCAGTTGCTCAAAAGTTAAATAGCGCCATCCACCAGATAAATCACTATCCAACAGATAAGTGTTAGGGAAACCAATTGCGCTATCCACTGGATAGTGATTTATACGGTGGATAGCGTTATCCACCATTTGAACAACTGACGCCCGTCCCAGTTGTTCATAAAGGTGGTTATACGTCCGATAATCCAGTGGATAAAGCGATTGATTTTCCTAGTGCTCATCCCCTGGATAGCGGTTTATCCAGTGGCTGCGCTAACCGCAGCACTATTTCCCCATGAAAAACTGCAGCAAGGTTGGAGTAAGGCACAGCGAGAGTAACAAGCCAGGCACCAGGTTCTGCGCTGCTGGGGAAAAACGCAAAAATCGGGGATGAAATAGCAAAAAAGCGAAAAAATTTCCGCGAGCATTTTTATCCTCTTTTTCCCTACTGCAGAACCTGGCCCCAGGCTAGAGAGCAATACCTTTCACTTATACCCACCGTAAAAAGTGTTCCAAGACCGATACCCTTACCATAGAGACAACATAGAGAGGAAGCTGATAGTTAGTTCTCATCTCTAAGAAAGGTCTTGGAGACAACGTGAGCAGGTGAAACCCATTTGCATTGAGACCTTGATATCCCAAGCATTCTTTAAGATTCTTAGTCAGAAGTTCTCTATCATATGGTTCCACCCACTCTGAAAGGTTCTCAGTCATAGATATTAAGGGAGAAAAATGTTCTCCAAAGCCGCTTGCGAACGGGACTTTAGAACGTCCACGCGCAGCCAAAGTTCGGGTCCTGGGTTTTGATTGTTCTCTTTGACTCACGTAAACCCAGTCATGATCAGAAACTTTTCCTGCCATGAAAGCTAATATTGAAAAGTCTTCATGACTTGTTGGCTGGGCATAGGAGGTCTGGGCAGTTGTTTTCTGTGGCAGTTGTTTATGCTCACGGGTAGGACTGGATCGAATCTCAGTCTCTTCCTCAGACCAAGCCTTTGCCTTGGTGGCCTAACAAAGTTAAAATAGAGAGAAAGAAGATTGAACTCGTTAAAGGGCGGAAGCCACATGGGCAGCCGATTGGCAAGGGCCATTCTGGGGCGAAAAATAGTTGCTAATTGTACAGTCAGTACGTTTCTATATTCACTCTTCCGCGCATTTAAATACGATTCGATTCTTTCAGTCTTTATCTTTATTTGTACTCACCCTCTTCGTTCAACAATAAATTAAGACAATGAAAAAATATTAAAAGCAAAATTAGAGTACTGGCCGCCTGGAATAACCTTAGGGTCTAGCGGAGACAGGCAGTCAGTTGACATCAGCATTTTTAAACAGCTGTAACATTTTTTCGAGCGGTTAAAAGTTTTGTCTGTCGAAGGTGAACTTTACGAGGCCCTGAAGGGCCATGTAAATTTACGCTGACATTTTCTGATGTCGCCACTTTTTTTTGGCGATTTGGCGAATTTTATTCGCAGCTTTTTTTTTTCACTTTTTAACACTGAAACATTTTACCCCTCAAAATAAAGTTTCAGACAGCATATGATTTGGAAAGGGCAACAGTTACGTGGTGCCACGAAAAGCTAATAGTCTGAACACCTATCCGCTATGCGAGTCTCCACTTTATGTGCGAACAGAAGCCCTATGGCTTTTTTGTTAGCGCAAAAGCTCTCCGTTATAGTGTGAACAAAGCCTAATTGCCTGCTGATATTGTGCGCTTCTTGTTCACTCTGACTTAATGAACCATGAACTTTCGCTTGCATGCGCTTCTCAAATATTTTTAGCCATCTCAAACTTCGCTTTTGGTTTTCGCGCTTCGCTAAAATTAGGTTTTTTTCCCCTCTCGCTTAACTTTAGTAGCTTTTTACGGGCAAGTCTATAGAATGACTTAAAATCAAAATGACCGTTTGCTGTTACACTAGTATTTGCGCAGGTTAGCAACTGGCGCTTCTTCGATCACCTCAGGTGTTGACGCATATATCTATGTAAACGATTTTCCTTCGCAATCAAACGACAAAGTTAATGGCGCAAATTATCCGCTATTTTCACTATTTATTACAAAAATTTTCGTCCTTGTAAGTTGTTCTTACCCTCTTCTTCATATTCAGGCGCGGTAGTTGCATTTTAGATAAATTGCAACCCATTATAGAACAACTTTGTTTGGTTTAGATAAACTTTCTGAATCACAGTAACGTAGGTCCTTCAGGCACTGTTCAAAGTCACTGAAAAACTGACGTCTTCGCGTGATGGCGTGTCTTTATATATCAACCGATTACGTCATCTGTGACGCGGAGGAATTCCTGCAAGCTGATTGGACTAAAATTCAAATTCAGATTGCGCCATCACACAAGCCTGCGATTTTTGCCTAAGCGGCAGGTAGCTTCTTCATAGATGGTAGACAAAGTGTATCCAATTTATCTTAACAGCCATTGAGAACCAACATGGCGGATTGTCATTGAAATCTACCCTAAAATTCTAGGAAAAACTTGCCGACTGACTGGAATATTTGAGCTTTAAACCGCCAAAGGTACGACAGACAGGCACATGGCTTATCATGTGCGTCAACAAGGTAAGAAACATTTAAACAAATGAAATGGTTCCGTATACACTGAAAGCAAACTGCATTGCTCACTCCCACAAAACAATCACTTCTTTTCAAAGGTGAAAAAACCAAGTTAAATCCATGGGCGAATACCCGAAATTCAGGAAAAGAAGGCCGGGGACTTGCTAGTTGTATAGATATTGCTTATTCATGACGTACATGTAACTAAATCCGCCGATGAAATAACTGTATAACTGAGAAAGCCGTGAAGGCCTAAAACACAACGATTACTATTTATTCTAAGTCATCTAACTTCCATCACATCGAATCGGGTGCTCCCCAGTTCCTTCATCACAAAGATCACGGACAAACAACTGAAAGTGAAAGAACCTTAAAAATAGAGGCGGGCCAAGCGTCAATTTTTTAAGGTTCTCTTTCACTGCGAGGCGAAGACTGTAGAGATTGCAAATCAAACCATAACTTTATTTTGACTATTTAAATCAGCTGTGTAAAATAGTTAACAGCATTATGCACCATTCAAAGTAAACCCCCACTCCGGGATATGTGGGGCTTTGGAAGGGATTTGGTCCGTTATTGGCAGCTCTTTGAGTCCCAAGTTGGTGGGGGATTCGAGCCTTTTTGTCGCCCCTGTCTGCGGGGATGTGGGGCTTTTTACTCATGAAATTTTTTTAAAAAAAAATTATCATGTCTAAATTGACTCTGTACAGTACACAACTGTATAGTAAAACGCAAATCTTGCTTTAAATTCAAACGGAAATATACAACATAATCCCTCGCCATTTTTAGGAGCAATTATACATCACTTAACATTTTAAGGAGATGTTTTTATACTTGACAAAAAAGCAAGGCAAGACACCTATTTTTCAAATTTTAACCTTTATAAAAACACAACCTAGCTTTGAGAAAACAAAGATCGCACCTACAGCAGCTGCGGAAAATTATTATAATTTTGAGTAGAACTGATTACATTTTCTGTTGCTCATTAAAGGCTCTGCTAAACTTTCACAATTTTCCTCTGCTGAACATAAATTGTACTGAGCCGCATCTTGGTCTGCTATGTAGAAGCTATATCATCCTTCAAATTTTAAAGTGTGAAATCTCTGAAAAAGTTCTCCTCACTGGAGCAATATGTAAAAGGTTTTTCAAAGGTTTCACGCTGGTGAAGATGTGCGGCCTGTCATCCCTTGCAAGTTGTTACCTTTAAACTGACATTAATTATCAACTCAACTGCTTTGTGAAATTTTCATTTTGTAAGGGAAAACAACTCGCATTGGAAACATTTTTAGTTGCCCCAGGGGGTGGGGCAATTCCTGCTACCAGTATCTTCCATAAAAATTTTCTCCACATGGTGGGGCATTTGTTCAGAACCAATCCCCACCTATATCCCAGGGTGAGGGAAGGGGTCAGGGTTTACTTAGACTGGTGTGTTATTCAATTGGCATGTATGGGTGTTCTACATCCTGACAATAGACGTGTACAAAAGACTCCTTGATCATTGCTATTATTCAGTTCTCTCCTGTTTCTTACATAAATAAAATTAATAATCTGTTCATTCTAGTAGAAATCCAGATGTAGGAGATGTCAGTTCATGCCATGCTGCAGTTCCTTAATATTTCTCTGGTTAAAACAGACATTCTTCTAAAAGAGAGTGTGGCATCTGTGTGTCTTTGACCAAGCCAACCAAACAGCTTGAGTAAATACAGCGAAATTGGTTTCTCTTTAAAGCCCAGTCCTTAATAGAGACACAGGTGTAATCACAAGTACAAAAGTGAGAAACTGCATACAAGCAAGGGCAGCCATTACAAAAGCATAAGTATAAAAATCTTTTAAGTATCTGTTCTTCTTTTGCTTATACTTAAGACAATGTTATTCCACATGAGAACATGATGGACACAGGTATAACCAATAGCAACCACGATGATGACTTTATTTTTTGTTGCCAACACACTTGACAGGGGGGCCAGACTTACAACGGCCTACTAGTAGCCTAATAATAAGGATTTGTATGTGAATTATCGTAAAATCGATAAAATGGTTACAATGCACATAACCAGCCAATAAAGTGTACATAACTTATAAAGAGTTGTGTCTGTGATGTTTTCTTACTGTTTAGGCCCTGTAAATGCTATTTTAGCAAGGTTTGATGTTTTGGTTTCTCACCTAGCTACTAAGTAGTTCTAGAAGACAAGGCCTTCTTCTTTATGAGGTATGTACACTTTCATGGCTGTTTATGTGTACTTATCTACCTTACAATAAATTCCCATACAAATCCTTATAATTTGGCTTCCAGTACTTAAGCTGTTGTGAGTTTGGGTGCCCTGTATTGCCAACATAAGGGTTTCTTAAATTTCACAATTCTGCTCCTGCAAATGTCTCCTGGTAATGTATGTAACCCAAGTGTGAACATTCTTGAATCTAGACTTGTGTTTATGCTTGTGCCACTATTAAGAACCAGCGTAAAGGTTTATCAAAGCCATGCGCTGCTGTTTTGAATCCCAAATTCAAGCACTCTCCATGCTGACCGGTGATCCAGTATGCTCTGATCTCTACACAGTGCCCACACATAGCTAACATTTTCAATATTATCCTGCAGACACAAAAAATGGTAGTTAAAATTGCCCAAATATGAGAGAGATTAAATCCTGAAAATTTTAAACTCAGTTGTTTAAGCCACTATTAAAGAAGAAGACGTATGTGCACTGTAACCATACAAATAAATAAATTAACAAAGAAATTATTGGTTGCCAGAAATTTGCCAATCTTTCTGTTTTTGATTTTGCCTATTTTTATCAATAATGGGTACTTCTAAACTCTATGAAAAATAAAAAGGCTGGCTCTGTCTTCTACAGGAATAAAACAAAATAATGAAATCACACAGTTATGAATAGTTTTCCTTCATCATCAGCATCATATAATAATAATATTATTGTGATATTGTCAAGGCAAATGATTTTATTACCAAAATCACTGCAGTAAAACAACGACTTTCCAAGCAGATCTGAGTACAAAAAGTTATTGGAATGAAGAAAACAGTTGGGAAAGGTTTACCCATATGTAGCCTGTTTTAATCTGCTTCAATATTTTGAGCCTCCTATCCTATTTAGGTTCTAATTGCCACTCCTGCATTTTCCATAAACCACCTTGTTTGCCCCCCAAAGTTCAATTTCTCTTGGGATAACTGTAATACCAAGAGGTTATGAATTTATTTTCCGGTGAGGGAAGGGGAGGACAAGGCGTATTATGGGAAATGCACAAATGGCAAGCCAGCCTTTATTCCTTATGTGTTCCTCCACATATCAAAAATATAGTTATAATAATATTCATTGTGATGTTTCATTCAAGCCGAGCCCCTTTAATTAGGAACAATACAAGTTAGAGTTCAACTAATCATAATAATGTTAACAAGAGTGTAAATACTCACTTCTCCACCCTCAATTATATTACCGACTGCATCTCTAAGGATCATAATCTGTTGTACCATAAAAGTGAGAACTAAAACAGGCCCTTGTTCCATAACCTTGGCCATTGCCACCTGCAATGTTATACACAAAACAGGAAGTACACTATAAGATACCATTCTGTCATTCTGTATTACAGGTTAGGGTATCTTTGCGACTAAAAGTTTCATGGTGAGTTTAGATATATTATTTTAAGTGCAGCTAGATAATAACCAAATGTAAAAAATTACTGTAACAATACTATTAAAGTAGGTGGTCATCACCCTTCTGGGTTTTTTAGGTAAGGCCCATTGAAGGCTATAGAGTTTCAAGCACCTTTGGAAATGCAAATATGTGATAACTGTTTCATTATTACCAATGATAATTAACTATGTTAGTCATCATTTTAGAGAGCACTGTGAACAAAGTATCCAGGCTGACTGGGTTTTGAATGGAAAAGAAAAGATCTCTTGTTTGTGAGACTTAACACTAGCAACTACTTCTACCGATTTCAGATGTTAGCGGGTTAGAGGTATGACTAGAAGTGAGATGTTTTTATACTTGACAAAAAAGCAAGGCAAGACACCTATTTTTCAAATTTTAACCTTTATAAAAACACAACCTAGCTTTGAGAAAACAAAGATCGCACCTACAGCAGCTGCGGAAAATTATTATAATTTTGAGTAGAACTGATTACATTTTCTGTTGCTCATTAAAGGTTCTGCTAAACTTTCACAATTTTCCTCTGCTGAACATAAATTGTACTGAGCCGCATCTTGGTCTGCTATGTAGAAGCTATATCATCCTTCAAATTTTAAAGTGTGAAATCTCTGAAAAAGTTCTCCTCACTGGAGCAATATGTAAAAGGTTTTTCAAAGGTTTCACGCTGGTGAAGATGTGCGGCCTGTCATCCCTTGCAAGTTGTTACCTTTAAACTGACATTAATTATCAACTCAACTGCTTTGTGAAATTTTCATTTTGTAAGGGAAAACAACTCGCATTGGAAACATTTTTAGTTGCCCCAGGGGGTGGGGCAATTCCTGCTACCAGTATCTTCCATAAAAATTTTCTCCACATGGTGGGGCATTTGTTCAGAACCAATCCCCACCTATATCCCAGGGTGAGGGAAGGGGTCAGGGTTTACTTAGACTGGTGTGTTATTCAATTGGCATGTATGGGTGTTCTACATCCTGACAATAGACGTGTACAAAAGACTCCTTGATCATTGCTATTATTCAGTTCTCTCCTGTTTCTTACATAAATAAAATTAATAATCTGTTCATTCTAGTAGAAATCCAGATGTAGGAGATGTCAGTTCATGCCATGCTGCAGTTCCTTAATATTTCTCTGGTTAAAACAGACATTCTTCTAAAAGAGAGTGTGGCATCTGTGTGTCTTTGACCAAGCCAACCAAACAGCTTGAGTAAATACAGCGAAATTGGTTTCTCTTTAAAGCCCAGTCCTTAATAGAGACACAGGTGTAATCACAAGTACAAAAGTGAGAAACTGCATACAAGCAAGGGCAGCCATTACAAAAGCATAAGTATAAAAATCTTTTAAGTATCTGTTCTTCTTTTGCTTATACTTAAGACAATGTTATTCCACATGAGAACATGATGGACACAGGTATAACCAATAGCAACCACGATGATGACTTTATTTTTTGTTGCCAACACACTTGACAGGGGGGCCAGACTTACAACGGCCTACTAGTAGCCTAATAATAAGGATTTGTATGTGAATTATCGTAAAATCGATAAAATGGTTACAATGCACATAACCAGCCAATAAAGTGTACATAACTTATAAAGAGTTGTGTCTGTGATGTTTTCTTACTGTTTAGGCCCTGTAAATGCTATTTTAGCAAGGTTTGATGTTTTGGTTTCTCACCTAGCTACTAAGTAGTTCTAGAAGACAAGGCCTTCTTCTTTATGAGGTATGTACACTTTCATGGCTGTTTATGTGTACTTATCTACCTTACAATAAATTCCCATACAAATCCTTATAATTTGGCTTCCAGTACTTAAGCTGTTGTGAGTTTGGGTGCCCTGTATTGCCAACATAAGGGTTTCTTAAATTTCACAATTCTGCTCCTGCAAATGTCTCCTGGTAATGTATGTAACCCAAGTGTGAACATTCTTGAATCTAGACTTGTGTTTATGCTTGTGCCACTATTAAGAACCAGCGTAAAGGTTTATCAAAGCCATGCGCTGCTGTTTTGAATCCCAAATTCAAGCACTCTCCATGCTGACCGGTGATCCAGTATGCTCTGATCTCTACACAGTGCCCATACATAGCTAACATTTTCAATATTATCCTGCAGACACAAAAAATGGCAGTTAAAATTGCCCAAATATGAGAGAGATTAAATCCTGAAAATTTTAAACTCAGTTGTTTAAGCCACTATTAAAGAAGAAGACGTATGTACACTGTAACCATACAAATAAATAAATTAACAAAGAAATCATTGGTTGCCAGAAATTTGCCAGTCTTTCTGTTTTTGATTTTACCTATTTTTATCAATAATGGGTACTTCTAAACTCTATGAAAAATAAAAAGGCTGGCCCTGTCTTCTACAGGAATAAAACAAAATAATGAAATCACACAGTTATGAATAGTTTTCCTTCATCATCATCAGCATCATATAATAATAATATTATTGTGATATTGTCAAGGCAAATGATTTTATTACCAAAATCACTGCAGTAAAACAACGACTTTCCAAGCAGATCTGAGTACACAAAGTTATTGGAATGAAGAAAACAGTTGGGAAAGGTTTACCCATATGTAGCCTGTTTTAATCTGCTTCAATATTTTGAGCCTCCTATCCTAGTTAGGTTCTAATTGCCACTCCTGCATTTCCCATAAAACACCTTGTTTGCCCCCCAAAGTTCAATTTCTCTTGAGATAACTGTAATACCAAGAGGTCATGAATTTATTTTCCGGTGAGGGAAGGGGAGGACAAGGTGTGTTATGGGAAATGCACAGGTGGCAAGCCAGCCTTTATTCCTTATGTGTTCCTTCACATATCAAAAATATGGTTATAATAATATTCATTGCGATGTTTCATTCAAGCCGAGCCCCTTTAATTAGGAACAATATAAGTTGGAGTGACTAATTATAACAATGTTAACAAGAATGCAAATACTCACTTCTCCACCCTCAATTATATTACCGACTGCATCTCTAAGGATCATAATCTGTTGTACCATAAAAGTGAGAACTAAAACAGGCCCTTGTTCCATAACCTTGGCCATTGCCACCTGCAACGTTATACACAAAACAGGAAGTACACTGTAAGATACCATTCTGTATTACAGGTTAGGGTATCTTTGTGACTAAGTTTCATGGTGAGTTTGGATATATTATTTAACTTTAAGTGCAGCTAGATAATAACCAAATGTAAAAAATTAATGTAACAATACTATTAAAGTAAGTGGTCATCACCATTCTGGTTTTTTTAGGTAAGGCCCATTGAAGGCTATAGAGTTTCAAGCACCTTTGGAAATGCAATGTGATGTCTGTTTCATTATTACCAATGAAAGAAATACAGCTAAGAAAAAAAAATAAATTAATAATATGTATTTCAATTTCACGAGGGTAGCACTTATTATCTTGTGATATCTACACATACACTGTGGTCCTATCAAAAGATTCTTGTTCAGCTTAGCATACACTGTACAGGAATTAAAATAATAATATTGCATTTTATGTACAAAGAAAAATTTAATTAATTATTATATTTGTGATTACATGTAGTAAGTTCAAGCAGAAACAATGGGCATGAATGATAAAGTAAAATTAAGAAAAATTTATGTTTGATTATTGTCTCAAACCCTAGTATACAATGTAGCCAACTTACATCAACCTCTCTAACATCAAGGATCTTTGCCTCAAGTTTTTGTCCAAGCTGCCGAGTTTGCTCAATTTGGGCTGCAAGTACATTGTAAGCCTGGAACAAAATAAATTAGCTCAATAACAAAAACTGATGGAAGAAGATTCCGCAAAAATGCAATTTTTTGGACTTACAGGTTCATGGCACCAATCTTTTAAAATATCCAGGTCACCTTTTAGAAATGCCTAATAAAGACAAGTAAGAACATTATTTTAATTAAAAAACAATAATACAAAATTCCCCACTCCAGAAACTGCAAGGGAAATGGGTACAAGCTTGTGGAGCAACAATTTCTGGGGTTGTTCGGGTGGATAAGCATTACTTGTGATTTGTTTATGGTTGATTTGAGTACCATCAACCAATCATAAAGTTGTATTGCTTGTCCACCCAAACGATACCAGAAATGGTTGTGCCAAAAGCTTGTAGAATGCAATCTTGTTCTCCATTATCAAACTAATTTTCGCACTATGCCAAGCGCACGTCTAGTAAACCTGGGGTTGAAAATGCATCCCACCAACAAGCAGCACATGCTCATCAAAGAACTTATTACACAATTTACAAAGAGTCTTTTCTTGAGAATGCCAAAATTGATCATGTGACAGATAGGGTCTGCTAGCAGGGTGTGTTTTCATCATGATCATTGTGATCACTAGCCTCCCATGCGGGCATTTTTAGGGGAGCTCATATTTCGTCCCTCCCCACAAATGCCTGCTCAACCAACAACAAAATTCCTTTCCCACTGTTTTATTTGTGCGGTAAGTGACCAATCAACAGTTTGACAGGCTAAACACGCAAGCTTGCGATGGTGTGAAAACATGACCTGAGAGTTACCTTTTTCCTTCTTTTCTTTCCATCGCTAAGGTTATGCAGGGCATGGGGTACTCTAATTTAATCTAACTGATTAAATCTCTGAGTCTAACAATTATTAGAGGTCATAAAGCTTTCTCATTGTTTCATGCAGATTGAGTAATTGTTGGGTTACCCTAACGTCGAGGTCAACCTTCCAGAATTTGGAAAGAACAAATGTGATTGGCTCGCTTGGGAAAGCAATGTGTTCTCGGTTGAACAGGTGTTTGTGGGGAGGGACAAAGTACGAGCTCCACTAAAAATGCCTGTGTGGGAGGCTACACGATCACTAGCATAAGTTAGAAGAAGTCTAACAAGTGCAGAGATTATAATTTATAAATAAATATAAACTCTTTCCCTATTATCCATGATTCTAGTGATCACAGAGATTGCTATGATAATGATTGTGGGCAAAGGCTTCAGTTCTATCGTAAGGCTGTGTATACTGTACTTGAACAGTTAAGTCTGGTTGACATAGAAACACCTATGAACGGCAAATGCTGTTAAGCTCAAGCAAGACCTTACCTCTAAAACGGCTGGGATTATTTCAAATTCACATTCTTTGAGAAAGCTATCTTTGTTAAATTGTGGGTCTATTCTTGTGATTTCAGCCATTGTCTTGGCAGTATCAGATTGTGAGAACACATCAGCTAAAAAAATAATTGAAATCACACAATCTTGGACTGACAGTTATAGAAAATCATTTTGGGGGGGTTGATTAGTGGTATATAGCGCATTTACATGCCTACAATAGGGAAGTAAAATTGCGGCTGAATGTGGACCAATATACTGGTACATGTAAGCCAGAAGTTTTATAGTCCCATGGCACACCCCAACCCCAAAATTCCAAGAGTAAGCCCCTCAGAAACCACTATAGCAGCTATTTGCAGTGATTGTTACACATAGAAATTAGATGCTGGTTGCAATAGTTTAAGATAACCAAACTCAGCATACCCCGCCTTCCACAGGGTTTTAATCATAGGTGATTTGAATAAATTAATTTACTTTTTCTTTGTACAGTGAGGTAGTCACCTCTTGGACATACACATATAGGACCCTGTTATACAAGCAGCAGTCACAGCCTTTGCATGTTTGTGTGTAGCAAAATCGCAAAAAAACACTGCACTTGGTACTGAAAACTTATCTGAATACAGTTAAAGCAGAGATCGATACAAAAGTGATTGCTTCTTTTCGGCTTTCGCTAATTTCCCTTCCACTTTTTCTTTTCTTTTTATTTGTCTTGAACCTTTTTATTTTCAATTTTTTCTTTAGGCCCTTTGTAGTATAATGATCATGAAAAGTGCCACTTTGTCTAACAGTCATCTTGCATGACTGTATGAAATTCACTGAAGTATTATTAGTGTTGACTTACTAAAAATATCTTGTAGCTTGTCAGTTACTACTCTTGAGGCTCGCACCACCACATTGTCACTTTCATCATATTTCGTTTTAAGATTGAAAAGACCTGTAAAATATTATTAAGTTGGTCAATAATAATTGCTTACTTAATTAGCAGGACTGCATGTAACCTTAAGCAATAGGCTGACCACAGCAACGGCAACTAGAACATGAAAAAAGCAATTACGTTTAACAACAATTTTGCAGTTGCAGCGCACTTCTTTGTACATTTCTTTGCTGTCACTGTATGACTTAAAGTGAAAACACCTCATTTCATACATACATACATACATACTTTATTGACTTTCCCAAGGGGCTTTTCAAAGACAATACAACTTTATGTGGGATGTAAATAAGCCACAAATATTTTTTTTGGCAAAACTACATTAATTTTGTCAGTCATGATCATTGCAGGTACATAAGAAAAGAGTAAGGTTGTAAATGTCATAACTTTACCAGTCACTACAGGATTGTTGTCTTTAAACTCTTGCCACTGTTGATACCATTTAGAATCTCTGTGGAGAACCATCCCTGTAGCATCCCTGAAAAAATAATAAACAAGACACACGAAAAAAATATTATTTTTATTATTATATAAACACCAATGAAATAACAGGTGAACTCTTGGGCGAAATTATGATATATGAAAACTTTGAACTGGAACATCAGTTATACACTCAGCATGAAGCAGAAAATCTTAAAATCTATGCTTAATGCTAGCTAGTTTAACATGCTGAAAGACACAAAGAGTGCAAATTCCATCCCCATAATAAAATATGACAAAAAGAAATAATTTATTATGAAAGACAACCACACATACTCATTGGCATCGATTCTTCTCTCCTTCTTAGCCATTTCACCTTCTTCTCCAGTTCTCCTTCTAAGCTTTTCTAAAACATTCCAAAAACAAGAACAACATCACTATAGAAGATTTCACTGTTTACAAACATTGTTTAATATGTCAAATTTCTAATGAGTGAAACAATAGAATATTTTGTTTCAAGTACCAATGTGTCTGATTGGCACATTAAAATCTATAGCTGATGTCAGTGTGAGTATTGCTATAACAATAATATTGTAGATAAAAATCCAGTTAATAAATAAGAAACTCATTNAAAGCAATTACGTTTAACAACAATTTTGCAGTTGCAGCGCACTTCTTTGTACATTTCTTTGCTGTCACTGTATGACTTAAAGTGAAAACACCTCATTTCATACATACATACATACATACTTTATTGACTTTCCCAAGGGGCTTTTCAAAGACAATACAACTTTATGTGGGATGTAAATAAGCCACAAATATTTTTTTTGGCAAAACTACATTAATTTTGTCAGTCATGATCATTGCAGGTACATAAGAAAAGAGTAAGGTTGTAAATGTCATAACTTTACCAGTCACTACAGGATTGTTGTCTTTAAACTCTTGCCACTGTTGATACCATTTAGAATCTCTGTGGAGAACCATCCCTGTAGCATCCCTGAAAAAATAATAAACAAGACACACGAAAAAAATATTATTTTTATTATTATATAAACACCAATGAAATAACAGGTGAACTCTTGGGCGAAATTATGATATATGAAAACTTTGAACTGGAACATCAGTTATACACTCAGCATGAAGCAGAAAATCTTAAAATCTATGCTTAATGCTAGCTAGTTTAACATGCTGAAAGACACAAAGAGTGCAAATTCCATCCCCATAATAAAATATGACAAAAAGAAATAATTTATTATGAAAGACAACCACACATACTCATTGGCATCGATTCTTCTCTCCTTCTTAGCCATTTCACCTTCTTCTCCAGTTCTCCTTCTAAGCTTTTCTAAAACATTCCAAAAACAAGAACAACATCACTATAGAAGATTTCACTGTTTACAAACATTGTTTAATATGTCAAATTTCTAATGAGTGAAACAATAGAATATTTTGTTTCAAGTACCAATGTGTCTGATTGGCACATTAAAATCTATAGCTGATGTCAGTGTGAGTATTGCTATAACAATAATATTGTAGATAAAAATCCAGTTAATAAATAAGAAACTCATTCTTGCAGTTAACACTTCAGTTAGTTCCTTGAAGCTCTTCCACCACTGACCCAGCCACTTAGAAAATCAAAGTATAGTGATAATATGTACACTATGATATTTCTTGCAGCCCTGTCAACACTGGCAAAAAACCAGGCAGGCCAAAAACCATCTAGCTGAGAAAAGCAGGGTTCGCAATAAGACCTGGCAGCCACTGAAATTTGCCAGCTATTTCACATGAACTCACTGCCAACTTTTCTTTGGAAGTTACCCTCCAAAAAATCAAAATTTAATGATTTCTGTGTTCTGTTCAAACACTCTAATTTTTGCTTCAAAAAGCTGGAAATGCACTATAAGAGGCCCAGATTTTAAAATTTTTCCAGGAGCCCCCTAGTAACTCGCATGTTTTTTCCTTCTCCACCTACTCCAAGGCTTTTGCCACCTACTTAAAACCTTACTGAAAACCCTGGAATAGTGATGAAAGAGCTGGACGCGTTGGATCTAACATGGAATAAAGCGCAGTCCAAAGCTCAGGGACGAGTGGCAACATACATGATGACTGTTGCCTTACAGCATATGTCCCAGACAGGGTGAAGAGGTTGAGTGACTCCTGGCTCGTGGCTATTAATGACAGCCCAACGATCACCACATTTTGCTTACTTATATGAATTCGAGTACACTGTGTTACACTTTGCTTACCTGGGGTCCTGTAAGGTTTGGATTGTTCAAGTGTTTCATCGAGAACTTCCTTCTTAACTGTTTGAAAGCCCTGTGGATTTTAAGGAAATAGAATTTAAACTCTATTCTGCACTAAGATACAATATTAAAGAAATATAAGTAGCAGATACAATGTATGCCGCTCACTCTCTTTTCCAAACACCAAATCATCAAAACATTCTACTATCCTCTGTACCCCTTTAAATCACGAGTCGCAACATCAATTTTCTTATATAACAATATCAAATCATAATCAAGAGAAAAGAACTAGAATTAATGCGAAAGATCACCTATCATGGGGAAATGGTTTGATCTTTAACCCATTCGCCCCTGAACCGCCCGTAACCGCCCGTGCGGATCCAGGTCCTTTCTACCCTTTGTGACGTCATCAGTTTTAACGGTCAAGGACAACTTTCTTCGGTAACTTGTGCAGAGTGAAGAGATCTTTCAAACCATACCAGAATGACCACAATTCAGTCAAGGACACCGGAGAAAGAAGCAAAAAACCACGTGACAAGGACCTGAAAATCTCCATGAAAATCTTGTTCCATTACCCACCTACCTTTCCTTTCACCTAATCCTAAGATCCTAAAAGCTTTCCTAAAAACTCTTCCCACCAAAATGAAGCCTACTAAATGCCCAGCAAGAGAAAAAAAAAATGAGGCAAGAAAAGCGAAAAAAGAAGGGAGGAGAGAAAGCGAAAAGTAAAAGTCAAGACTGCTGTGTCACTTATAAACCCAAAAACTATGTCGAAATTTTGCTTTCTGCGCATGCCCGAACTTCGCAAGCTGATATTTTGCATCTGGATCAGAAGGCCGCCAAGTGTACGACCTGTAGACCGGTTTGTGGTAAGTTTTAGCTCTTTATAGCACGACAGTGACCAGAAAACCACTCGACTAGCTTCAAAACGTGTTTTTCGGCAAAATCTCCAGGAGCGAATGGGTTAAACAAATTCTCCCAACTAGGTCTTTAAGAAAATGGATGGAGCTCAGTCTAGAGAAATTGTACGTGGATACAGGGGTTTTAATAAAAATTCAAGTAGCCAGCATGTATGAAAAGAGTATCAAACTGTATCAACAAGGGGCCGTTAGTCCCCTTTTTCTAGGGGGAAGGGGGTCTGGGGGCGTACTTCCACGTAACATGACTAAAGGATAATGTAAAACCATTTCATTCAGATTTTATGATCCTTTTTTATTCACCATGTTATTCAAACTAGTTGCTTCTCAGTTCTTTCTAGAAAAAAGTAGCCAACTGCTCTGAGCAAAGCCGACGCGTTTCGTCAGCCGTCGATGTTTATTGAAAGCCCTGTGGATATTGGAGCTTAAAGGCCTATAATCACTTACTGCTGACACAGCCTTAAAAGTATCTGTTTTTCCAATCACTTCACTTTGCTCTTGAACCTTTGAGGCAGCCTCCTTAGCAGACTTAGCAAGCTACAAGTAAACAGAGAAAAAAGAAACATGCCAGTTAGATTAATGAGGCAATTTATTGCTTCTGTTTCATTCCCCATTCACACTTGTTTATGTGGATGTACATGTAAATATTATAAATTATTCAGGTTTCAATTTTTAAACCTATAGCTTGACTCTCTTTACCCTTTGTCTCCTAGCCCTAATTCCTAAATCGCTGGTGGCGATTAATTCTACATGAAACACAATTTCCTCCCTAAAAGTTTTTCACTTCCTACTTTATCAACCGTAGAGTATTCTTCAGGACGTAACCGGTCCTTTCGATACAATTTATTTCGACAAAAACTTGAGCATTGAAATTACATAAAAATTTCAATCACTTTAAGTATAGTTTGCATGTGAAAAAGATAAGCCCTTTGGGTGAATATTCTTCATTCTTTAAGCCAAGTTTGTAGAACTATTTACAACTAGACGGAATAAACTTGTATCGAAACAACCAGTAACCCTTCAGGATATTTTAATTTTTATGTTGTATTTGATGTTTTGTTTCTGAATTACTTGTGTGTAAATACATGAAAATCAAGGGCCTTGATTCGAGAGAAATTACATCAACAAAGAGCAGAAAAGTGATGATCATGGTGCGTCATTTCAGTCATTACCAAAAGTAAACTGAATGCTCAACACAAGACTTATTCGCATGCAATGAAAGTTTACAACACCCGACCAGTGAGCCTCACCATTAAAGTTTTACATTACGATTCTTCTTTTTTTTCAGCCACTGAGGTTATCACTTGCTCCAGAGTAATCAAAGCTTTCAAGCGATAGAATTTGTGGCCCGAACCGTTCAGGAAAAGCTCATATTGATTAATTTTTGCATTAATCTTTCCTAAGTTTTCTATGCATGGTTTTTGTCATGCCGTAATTCTTATCCACAGTTTCCAGAGTTTCCGCTAGGAATGCCTGGAACTATGATCCCTTTTCGTGTGCACACATGCAAAAAAAATAACGCTTGCATATTTTGAGTCTTGCAGCTACATTTTATATTGTAAAGCAAGCGAGACTAATTACGGCTAGGAGACAAAGGAAATAGAGAATCAATTTAAGTTAAAAAAATTTCACCTGAATACACAGTTGTAATTTCAAACTGTAACATAAATACATGTTACAGTTATTGTATGTTATTGTCATTCCATTCTCACAATTGGAACCATAACAAATTCACAATAATTTGAACAGCTCTCCAGTTTGATTGCTCGGCTTATTTAGAAAGAGCATTGACAGTGTCCACTCATTGCAAACGTCAGGGTTTGAATCCTGGTCGATTATGAATTTTTAGGTTTTCTTTCAACAGCTAAGGTTGATCATATAACTGCGAGCACTAGATTAAGGCAAGATTTGGCAATCCAACTTTTAAATCTGTGGATGAAATTTATATCCTATGTTGTTACCATTCATATGAAATCTCCTCGGCATAACTTTTGCCTAAGACTTGATGGTTATGATTTTGCAAAAAGAAGTCTTTTTGTAAAAGCTAAAAACATACTTCTTCAGAAACAGCTCTGCCTTTCTTAAAAGCTTCACTTGTTGTTGCCTCTTCATATGCCTGATGAAAAACAACACAAATAAAATTTGGAACTGACTGTAGTTTTGTAGGTATTTAAGACACCACATCACTGCACACAGTACCTTAGACACTTTTGTAGAAAAGGCTCCAGAGAAACTTTTAACAACAGCAGAAGTCCTCATTGAAACAGATGACACACTGTCCTGTGAAAAACAAAATGACGATTGTAAGTCCTAAGAAAGACAGGAGTAAATTATGCAAATGACAGATGTGGAAAAAATAGTTACATACTGCCAGTATCTCATGTCAAGAAGATTGAATTTTGATATTTGAATCCCCTGGATGCATCTTTTGAAAGTGGAACCTATTTTAATACCACTGTTACAGCAAACTGAAACCTTACCTTTATTTTGTTAGCAATTCTGACTTTACTTGAGAGTGTTTCAGATTGCTCGTATTTTTTAGCTTCTTGTTGAAATTTCTTTATGTTTTCCTAAAATGCAGAGGAATCAACATGTTGAACTAAATAATTATGTGCTTGTGAAAATCACTTCGCTAGGGAAAAGAAAAGAAAAATAAGTTATGGTCAAGGAACACATACCTGCATTTCTTTATTTCTTTCAAAGCCCTCCTTTATATTTTCTATAAATCTTCCTATCAAGCCCGGTTGTTCATTTGGTCTTCTGTAAGCAAACCATCTGACCTGCAGTACAAATCATAAACAAGTGAATAAGATAAATGACTTATTAAATTCAGAAGAAGTCTAATCAGTCTGGAGAAAAGGACAGAAAAGAAGCTGTGAACTACTCCACTAGAGCACAGTTAAATACAAAAAAGCATTATTTTGCTTGCAGGTCAAAATGCCTCCAGGGTTTGGCAGTTATCGTTGCCTTCTTCAGTGCAAGTTGCAAGGCTTATCAGGGCTTGAAAAAAGGCTTGAATTTCAGCTTGTCCTTAAGGATTGGAAAAAGAACATTTTTCTGCGGGGTGGGAAAATTTCAAAGTCCTTCATGAACAGGGGGTTGTACAACTGTTTGATTATTCATTCAAAATAATTCCTAGTTTAAATCAAGCTAAAACATGTTCACCTCCATCAATGTTAAGTTCATCTTAAATAATTATTGCCCGTTTATCAGGAAGTTTAGGAGATAAGGGGTTGTTCAGTACTGAACATATTCTCCAAATAGCAGAATGATGTTGTCCGTCAAGTTGTCTTCTTGTTGTTCTTGCTGTTTTTAACCAATAGTTCGCATATTTCTTCTTCATGAAAAGAGTGAAATATTCTGCCAATTTGTACTCACCACCAAGACAGCTTGTCCTCATCCCTAAGTCTTCTTGATTAACTGTTCAATAAACTGGCAATTTGCTGCATAACTGACATCATTTTTCACGTCATAAAATTCTTCCAAATTTGGCAGACAGTAGCTTGTTATGATGAATTATGTGTGGAATTTTAGCCAATCAGAAATGGAGAAATATTTTGAATGAATAATAATAAATGGATGGCACTGACTGCCTCCAATTAACAGGAGTGACCAGTTAATAGAGGTTAAATTTAGGAATGGAGGGCAAATTCTTTGAATTTGATTTGTGACTGTTAATAGGGAATCACTACTTAACAGAAGGCTGCCTAATAAGGTTTGATGGTATTCTGTAGCCCAGCCAAACCGCTATCACCTGTCTTAGGCCTGTTTCAAACATCGTGCTACTGCCGTGCTAAGCTGGCTCGACTGTAGCTCGACTTCGTTTCAGAAGTCGAATTTAATTCAGTCGAATAGAACGGCTGTTGCCAAAACAAAACACAAAAATCAAGAAAAGGTTTCGCAGACTTTTAAATATATTCTAATGTATTTATAATTTATGAATTGAGTTCGGCAAGGCAGTAGGACGACGTTTGAAACCAAGTTGAGCTACTACCGTGTAGCATGCAAAGGTTTGCCGTGCTACACGGCAGTAGCATGACATGGTTTCAAACATCATGCTACTGCCATGCTAAAGTCGAATATAATTCAATCAATTGAGTTTGGCATGGCAGTAGTACGACCTTTGAAATGGGCCTAAGCCTGACTGCATTTCTACTGTAATTACTTAAAAAAATTCCAGTGGTCTGTATGACAATATGGTACAAAGGAAACACATGATAAGGTGAAAATTATCAGTGATTGTTCGCCGCACAATGATCTCTGTGATCACTGCGCGCAGCAATGATCACTGAACCTTTTTTCAGAGATCCTAGTAACTTATAATTAGCCTCCATTTCCCCCGCTCTCTCAACTGCGCACGTACGTCACAGGGACAGCTAGTTACGAAGAGGGAGACCAGTAAGACGAAATTAAATGAGCTTTTACCTGCTGTGAGTTGCATTCTACTAGTCGAAATCTGTCAGGAACAAACGAAGCACCTAGGAAATATCGATTTGCACGTGTGTCAAACATAGCAACACGTGCAAAGTTACGACAATTCTGACACACGTATCTTCCAAGTTGCATCTGTTTCAAGAAAAAAACAAAGAAGAAGTGTTATTGGTAAGCTTGCAAGAGTTTAGTTTAGTAGACAAGGAAAGAGGAACGATTCTCGTGACATAACTTGCACAATTTCGTCACTAACCTGCGCCATTTTGGATTTTCTGGCCAGCAAAACACGCATGCGTGGATGTATTGAAATCAGTGACCCAGTAGTGCAGGCTCATGTTAGTTTCCTTCAGTATGAGTGTGTAATCAAGAAAATTGCGATAATTTTGGTATCAAAATCATTCATCATGAAAATCGCTGTTGAAGGCTGCTGCCATGGTGAACTTGACAAGATTTATGAAACCTTGGAGCACTTGGAAAGAAAAGAAAGCATCAAAGTTGACTTGCTTCTTTGCTGCGGAGACTTTCAGGCCGTTCGGAATGAGAACGACCTCTGCTGCATGGCTGTTCCACTGAAGTACCGGCACATGGAGACGTTCTACAAGTATTACTCCGGTGAAAAGAAAGCTCCTTTACTTACGATCTTTATTGGAGGAAATCATGAGGCCTCAAATCACCTATGGGAACTTCCCTACGGGGGATGGGTAGCCCCCAATATTTACTATCTGGGGTACGCTGGAGTTGTGAATTTTGGTGGCATCCGAATTGCAGGTCTTTCCGGTATATATAAGGGCCACGATTATAACAAGGGACATTTTGAGAGGCCACCGTATACTAATTCTACAGTCCGCAGTGCTTATCATGTCAGAAGTTTGGATGTTTTCAAATTGAAAATTCTTTCTCAGCCCATTGATATATTTATGTCACATGACTGGCCACTAGGCGTATATCACCATGGAAACGTACAGGAACTATACAGGTATAAAGAATATCTAAGGTCAGAAATTGAGTCAAATACACTGGGAAGTCCGCCAGCTGGAGAACTTCTCACACTGTTAAGGCCTACGTACTGGTTTGCTGCCCACATGCACACCAAATTTCCAGCATTGGTACCTCATGATTCTAAAGATGGTCATCAATTCACAAAGTTCCTTGCATTAGATAAGTGCCTCCCAAGACGTGAGTTTTTACAAGTGATCGATTTGGGTCCAACAAAAGCTCCTTTACAACTGTGTTATGATCCTGAGTGGCTTGCGATTTCAAAGCTTACAGACCCTCTCAGCAACATGACTTCACACTTCACTGTCCTTCCAAATCCTGAACAGCTGTCAAGGTTTACACCTGATGAAAAAGTAGTTGAAGAAGTTGGAAAAGTGTTTGGCAATCCACCTAACATTCCTGAGAATTTCAAGATTACTACAGCACCTTTTAATCCAAGCCACTCAAAGAAAATTAACATGGAGCAAGTTCTGCCTGTGATTAATCCTCAAACTGAAACCTATTGTTCTATGCTTGGAATCAAGAATCCTTGTTATTCTGAGAAGAAGGCTGCTGAAACATACAAAAATCCTGAAGAAATTGATCTTAGTGATGATGATAATATTTGTGCACCTAGTGCTGCATCATCCAGAAATCCCGATGAAATTGGAATTGACAGTGATGACGATGTTGAGAATGATGATAACAAGGATGTTAGTGAAAGTAACGTAGGCATCAATGACACAACTCAATCAGGTCAAATCAAAAGATCTCATCTTGAACTTCCAAAGCCTTCAAATTCTTGTATACTGGGTACAGAGAATGCATTATTTGCAAGTGATAGTTCTCACTGTGATGATAAGGGATCTGACAGTGTGATGACAGAGGAATTTCCTGAAGATTGTCAAAAGTTAGAGCCTCAGAAGAAGGTCTTGAAGCTCAAGAGGAGAAATCAATCACTTTACACATCAAATGACAATGCAGAAGATAGTGATGACTGAAACAAACAACTTTAGTTTTATTTTTTTAAAAGGAATGAACTGACTACAGGCGAATAGTCCATTTTTGTATCTAGAATTACCTCTTAATAACAAACACCAAATTATGATGCATTGATACCAGGTTACTCTTGACCTGTAGTAAAGTGTTCACAATTAGTGGCCGGAAGGTTTGAGAAATTTGAGAATAAACAATAGAAAAAGTTGTAAACAGGTCTTTGTCTCACTGGAATTTGTGGATAAACATGTATGAATTCACTTTCAGTGGAACCTAACATGGTAAAAAGGCATCTTCAGTACTTTTAATCTGTTAGTCATTGGAAACTTCCAGTAAACTGGATTATTAAAATATGTCTATGAAATAACCAGGGAATATACTGCAGTAATACAGTAGTATATCATTCAGTGCTTTCAGTTCGTAGTAGGTTGCAAGTGTATAGGTAATATTCAAGGTCTTTCTTTACCCCTGTACATACCTCTCACCAAAACAACACTGCATTTGTACTTTCTGTCTTTTGCTTCCTACTACTCAAGTGCTTAAGTTTAACTTTGGCTAGTAGTTAGCACAGTTAACATTTTAGTTAGTGTCCAAACTGAAGTGTAGCCTGATTCTGATTTCTCAGACGTCTGAGGTCTTGTGCGGTCTCTTTGCTTCCCTCCCTCTAAGGGACCTCGAACGACCTCGGATGTCTGAGAATCAGCCTAAGCTAACTCAAGTAGAGATCAAAAAGGTATTGTTTTTCCTAAACGGCATTTACATGACTGTGTTGGACAGTCAACACTAAAACTTGTGTTCATTGTATATGATTATTCTATTTTACCATTTCTCTTTTAGTTTATGAGTAATATTAATGTGATCCAGGTTTATGCTTTTTGTCAGTCACGTATACATCCATGACGGTTTCTGACGCTGACTTCCTCTTTTGGGTTTGATAAACTCCAGCTTCAGAAATAGTACTGAGATCTTGCTTTTACTGGTGATTATACACATATAAGTGACATTCAATTACACACATTGATGTTTACGCAGTTGCCTGTATTGACTCTTCTATTTGCAATCTTAGAAGCAAAAGCATGTAGGAAAGAACAGAACAATGTCAGAAAGGTGACCACACTGCCTGGGGGGTGGGAAGGGGGGGGGGGGAGGGATGGTTGATGTTCCACACTGTTATTTCTTCACTGCCATCCCAAACTCGTTCATGTGAGGACCTGTTGTAAATGAAAAATATATATAAATCTGGTAATATTACATGACATTGTGATTTATCGGGTTCATATAGAAAATGCAAAACACGGACAAAAACAGTACCAGATGTATTAATTTTTAACAAATGCTCACATGGTGATTTGGGATACCTGTGACATCTTGCCTATTTTTTAAAAGCCCACTACACAATATTGAACTATGGCATAGCCATCAAGGAAATAGGCTGTGTTTTAATAAATGTTTCTGATTATGCTAGCCTGCATAGCAGGCTCTTGGAAGTAGTGGGCACAAGAAAGAATGGGCACGTGAGGGGAGAGGGAGCCTGTCTTGCTCTTGTGCACGCGTTCTTTCTTGCGCCCACTACTTCCAAGAGCAGGCTATGATTATGCAAGAGATTCTCTAGAGACAAAGAAATTGTGTCGTTATCATAAGTTTGGACAGCCCATGAAAATAGCCAACATTTTACAACCCCACCACTGGTTTTTAAAAAATTCCTCGCAAAATGACATCTTAGGAATGAGTGCAGAAATTTCGTACTGATGACAAGTCACTACCCAGATCTGGGTAGTGCTTCTGATTTGTTCTGCTGCCAGAAAAATTTGCTACAACCAATCAGAAGCACTACCCATATGTCATCAGTATGGAATTTTGGCAGTTGTTTCTTAGGGGTTATTTTGCAGGGAAACCAGTGCTGTCGTCACGAAATGTGAGTGAAAATTGAGCCATGACCTTAATGGCGTTTGTGAAGGAGACTAGAGTTTGGATGGTCCTAGAGAAATGCAGAAATAGATACTTTACCCACAATTTCCTTCCATCCAAACCCTGTACAGGTCACGTGCGAGCGAAACGCGAAAGCTTTGTGAGCCCGCGACCTAATGCTCGAGCTGACAGTTGTAAAGCATGCGCATTGGAGCTAAAACCACGCGCGGAAAAGAAAATGGCGGACGTGCTCGATGTAGATGTTGAAGACAAAGGAGGTTTTTCAGAAGACGAAGGCGATGGTAAGTGCTAAAAAACTGTTTTAAACTGAAGATTGTTCGCCATACAAGAGTTATGCCGTTGACTATTTTGCAGATAGTATTCAGAGATTGAAGTCTGCTGTCACAAAGCGAAAAGGAAGAGGATTCAAAGCCGGTATTAACACTTTAGCTGAATGTTACTTTGCGTTGCTCTTCCACCACAAATGTTATCACTTATTTTATATGTTGCGTGAATTTCAAAATAGCACTGTTGCCTGGTCTTGAGACATGTCGCCGCTTTTCCAAAATCTAGTAAAGCTCAAAAACACAACCACTTTGTACTCAGGCATGTGAAAACAACAATTGTGGCGTGGGCTTTTGTCATCATTGCGTATAACTCGTGGTAGAAGTGATCCACAAGTCAGTTAATTGTGGCATTGATGGAAACAGTATCCTTTATGCGCTCTCTAGCACAAGGTTTTCAAAATTTATACTTTGTCAGTTACAGGAAACTTTGTTTAAACCAAAGCCATGAACTAATTTGAAATCTGCAGATTGAGGAAGATTTTTTGAACCTGTAAATTGCAGAAATACACTGTGTACTGACAAGATTTTAAACCCTTGGGAAAAGGAAATTGGTTAAGAAAATCAGAACTTTTGAGAAAGTGGGGTAGAATACAGAGTTTGACTTTTGAAAAGAAAGTCAACTTTGCCTCTAATTATTGAGGGGTTTGAGAAAGCAGGTTATTGGAACGATGTTTAACTTAGACTGTGGTTTAGGAAATTTTTGGACCTCCAGATATCTTCTTTAAAGGGTTATTTTAAAAAGAAAAAGGCTTTTCTAGTCTACGCCATATGCTTCCATGAAACTGTTCATGATTAAATGATGTTTACATAAAAGTGTTTGTTAGTGACATTTCGAGTTGCGTTACATTATGTGCATCCTGACAATTATCATGTGTTTTGGTCTTGTGACGTTGTTGTTGAACTCGGACTCTTGGATGGAACTTGACTAGAGACTTGTCGAGATTTATATGCGAGATTTGTCGAGATAGGTTTGTTTTGTTTTGTTAAGAGCTTACAGTCTTGGAATAGAAACAACAGTGTTTGGCAAACTGAAAACAGGCTTAGAATACAGTTTTATTAAACACTAGCTAAACTCCATTGAAATAACTGGTCCTTAGGGTTGAAAAAATTAGGATTTTACTGCTGTTCTAAAGATGCTTAGAAACCAGAGCAGCTTGCATTGTAAACTACCTGACAATTTTGTTTGAATATTTCAGCTGATTCTTCGTCCCATTCTAAAGAACAATATGAATCAATGGAAACAGATGATAGTAGTGGAACAGGCCCAGCTAGATGTAAGTTTTTAAATCTGCCAAAAGAAACTCTGCTTATTCTTGATGCTAGAGAATATATAACACACAGGGCTGTTATTTAGGCCCAGAGAACCGGAATTTTTCTCTTGCCAGTAGAAATGAGAGCCCTAGCCATTTTTCTAGAAACACAATGTTTTATTTTAATAATACAAGATGTCAAATCCCTGGCTACTTTCCCCAGGGGGAAAAAACAAAGTTGGGAAAGCTATGACTGTTATTTGTGTAACTTTAAAAACCTGTAAAAGCATTATAGAAAATCAATCTGAGAAAATTGTAAAGCTAAAAATGTTGCTGCTGTACGTGAGCATTGTAGCCTGAGAAAACAGCTGACATTTTGTGACACCATCGATCACTGGTTTCCTCGCAAGGTGATGTCTGACAATAGAGTGCAGAAATTCCATACTGATGACATGACATTGCCAAGATCTGGGTCCCGTTTCTCAGACATCATTTCACTAGGAAACCAGTGGTCATGTCGTGGAATGTCTGCTAGGTGAAACAGCTATACTGTTAGTTGCTTAAATAAATATAAAGCACTGGACACTGTTTCAATCTCATTACAGCTGTTGAAGGGTGGATCTTGTTTATCACCAATGTACACGAAGAAGCCCAAGAAGATGATATACATGACTCGTTTTCTGAGTATGGAGAAATAAAAAACCTCCATGCTAATCTGGACAGAAGAACTGGTTTTTTAAAGGTAAGTCTTTCCCAAATAAGAAGTGCATGAGTTGCTGATTTCCAGATTCCTGTGCAGCCTCTGATATTTTAAATATCATTATAACTATTTCCAGTGGTTACAAACATGGCAGCAGTCATGCTTGTGAGCTTTCCTGCAACCGGTCCCAGGTCCTGATGTATTTTGCTGGTCAAAAGGATTGCTGCTCTTGGATCAGAATGAGACACCTCTGACTATGACTTTGACATCTGGCTCTGTCCTTTGGGTGTCTCTATTGTTGTTTAAAATTTCACTGCATTTCTTGTGTCAATCGTTTTTTGAGTTTCATGGTGACCATATAAAGGAGTATTGGATGGCGCAGTGGTGAGAGCACTTGCCTCCCACCAATGTGGCCTGGGTTCAAATCCTGGCGATGATGCTATTTTGTGGGTTGAGTTTGCTGCTGGTTTTCTCCTTTGCTCTGAGATGTTTTTCTCTAGGTACTTTCAAACTCATGTATGGGGGCATCATCACTCATTCCTTCAGTACTTGTAAACTGCACCTTAAGCAGTCTGGCAAAGTCCCCCAACCAGTGTTGTAAATTATCCCTGAAAAGCCCT